TATTTATTGAATCAACTAGAAAATGAAAAATGTGTATCCTTTCAATGGAGAATCAAATGCTACAAAATTGAAGGTGAAGAAACAAAGATCAGTAACCCAAACGCTACAGTATCCTACTTGTAGGTTAGGGCCTCATGCTGCAAAGATTTCAATGGATTTGTTTGATATGGATTTTATAAGAATAGATTTGGTGAAAAATAAGTGTTTTTTGGAAAATATCTGATTAAAAAGTGGAAAACAAATTATGAGTTCATGTGCAAAATTATTTTATTGAGAGAATACGAGATTTAAAATGAATTTGGAGAAAAATAAATTTTAAATAATCTCTACAAAATAGGCACATAGTTTTTTCTTTTTTCCTTGTGCCTTTTTGCTTAAAGTTCCCATATAGATGCTCCTATACGCTACCATATATGAAATTGGTTGTGCTTTGTGTATATAATTTGAATACATAGAGGGTGTTCACACCCCTCACATAGAGTGATATTTGTGCTCCAACTCACAACCCCTTACACGGGGTGATTCTCTAGCGAGGTGGGCCCCCACCCCATGTGAGGGTGTGGCATCGTAATGTACATATTTTTATGTATATCAAGACTTATCCATATGAAATATGTATAAAATCTTTGTATAAAGCATTAGGGAATCTCGATGGGACCCAAAAAAAAAAAAAAAAAAAAAAAAAAGATGGGAAATTTTAAAAAAAAAGTTTAAAAAAAAAAAAAAAAAATCAAAAGCTGGGTAATTTTATACAAATAGTTTCTACAGTTTGTTGAAGCCAACATCGAGAGGCTGATCAATCACCGAGCTCCAAATGCAATCCACTGGTTCTTGAAATGTACACAAATAATTCTCATCAATCTTGTAATCATCACCAAAATTCTGATCAAGGGATGAACAAACACACGAATTTTCTACACATAATTGATCAAGATTTTCTGTAAAAATGCTGGGAATTTCATATAAACACGTACCAAATGTGTCTTGGAGTTCCAAATATTCATCACTTTTAAAGATCACACCCTCTTTTAGCCAAGGAAAATCGAAAACTCCACCCTCTTTGCAGCACTCAGATTCTGGCTTCTTTTCTTTACTGGTTTCTTGTTTTTCTTCTTCTTCTTCTTCTCTTGTTCTCTTTCTGTTCTCTCTCTCCATCGATTCTGTATCTTGAAAACACAAAAATCGGAACAACAACGTTAGATGATTGCTACACAAATAAATGTTTTGCTGTGATCATCATGCTATGGGATTTGGAGCTAAATGAAACCCTTT